ACATTGCGTCTCGAGAATTCAATTGTACCTCAACATAAGTTGTTATCAATTTAATTCATGAGTATTGTATTTACTTCCGAGTTTAGAGTAACAGTGGGTAATAACACTGATTAGCGATTTGGTAACCGAACAATATATATTGACATATATTCTCTGTTGTGTATCTCTTTGTTTTTGAATCTCTTCGAGATTATATACCTTGTATAATGATAACCCTCACAGTAAGGTCTGCCGCTCGTATCCAGGCAGACTAGTATATGTTTGGTGCACAATTTATATTAATAAATGTATCTCGTGTATTGAACCCATGTGTGTGCGTTGTTAGTTGTTCTGACGATTGATTTTCTAAAAGCCCCAACGAACAACCTCGTGATTACTGCTACAATTAATAATTGTCTCAGTAAACCCATCAAACCACTACACTGGGAATCAGTGAATTTGCAATACACAGCAGTTGTCAATCCCAGGTAGCTTATAAAGAGGCTTATGTCTAGAAAAGAAAGAGTGATGGAAGACACATTTACAAAGAATTTGAGACATGGATATAACTTGGTGCAGTGCACTCACTTTGCACTAACCAAGCCATAAATGGAGAAGAGGCACTTCTCCATCCTATCCATCCATCCATTCTATCCTACCACCCATGGTGACTGCTGACCTTATGGTAGAAAAGATTATTGGAAGAAAATTCATTCAAAGTGAAAACCAGTTTAGCCACTCAGATAAAGATGGCTTTGGGAAGACCAGCAGTAGGTTTTTAATGAATGTATGTTTGAAATCTGTGAAGCTGCCACCATGGGGAATAATTCATATAAAAATGAAATGTCAATGGTGAAATTAAAAGCCCCTTCAGAGAGTTTGGTTTGGTTACTATCTTTAATCTATGAAGGGGGACCCTGAAGTTCTCTGCATACTGAAGGACTCTGAATGGTAGTATTGCGTAGTCTCTAAAAACTAGTTATAGGCTGTGTTGTTAGTGTTCAACAAAATGAAGGTTAGTCTCATGAGTTAATTCTTCAATGTTGATAAAAAGCATAATTATGGATACAATCCCTTGTCTTTGGGTTCAGCAATTTTCAATCTAGTGCCTGTTTATGGCCAGGGAATAGATTGTATCTCTAAAGGCCCCCATTTTTGAACCAGTTTCATGATAACGAAGAATTGTGTGGGGGGTTATATTGCCTGGGAGCAGAATACAAATACTTGCTTTTGATAATATTATGTTTTTGACAATTGTGTCAGTCAAAACAGAAACCAGTGTTAATTAACGTGTGATGTCATTTTATCTCTGAAACCTTTTGTAACATTAGAACAAGCCTAGAAATGATCCACGAGCACTGTAGAAATTTGTATCAGTGTCCAAATATCTTGTCAAAAGCCATTGGAGAATATGTGTTTTTACATAAGTGCTCTCATATTTCTGAAACAAATTTTCAACATATAGTATTCTGCTCTGTACCTAGTCTTTTAAATAGTTTTGATCTTACTATGTTTGGCAAATAATTAGTTTTTGTGTGGATAGCTTTGTTAAGTTCTTACAATGCCAAATATTCACTGGAAATAACCTTAGAAAAACAGATGACTCACAGGTCTCTATAGAACCGTTCCTATTTTCTATAGGAACCTGTACATTTCTGTATTTGGAACATTTCTATTTAGACCTTATTGTTTTTGTAAGGGAAGCTGGAAAATAAGTTTTGATGTAGCATTTTATTAAAAAAAATACTTTTACAATATAATTCTCAATTCTGCTGAACTTTATCTTCAGGCATTGTGTTCTGTGGCCAAATTGTTGTTCTATTGGATTGTCAGTTTTAAAATAAAAATGTAGATAAATTTACATTCTTCTTGTCTTTTCCAGAAAGTGTAACTGAAGTCAAAACTAACATCTATGTAACAAGTTTTGGACCAGTCTCAGACACGGATATGGTAAGTGTTGATTTCTAAATAGAGGAAGGAATTTATAGAAAATCTCTTGATGTTTAAACAGATTTATATAGGCCAGTCAATATACAGTACAGGAAAAAGATTCTCAAGATTAAAGATCCCTAACTGGATGGAAGCAGGATACACAAGGCTGTTGTTTGACAATTTGATTGTGCTTTTTATCATGATCATAGTTTCCATATGCAAGTTTGCAGGGGTGTCATTCCAAGGTTATTCGTTATTCAAACAAACCGCCTCTCTGCCTGCTGTTCATTGCCACTTCCTCCACATTTCAGCATAGTACTGGCAGAGTTATCTCTCAGTTTGTCCTTCCACTTAGTACTTTCTGATCAAAACATTTCCAAATCCTTTTGCTGTTTATGAATTCTAGTAGCAGAAAATGGAAAATTGATGGAAGAAGGTGTCAAGCATTTTTTTCATTCTAAGGCCTACTAGATTTATCTTTGCATATTTGAAAATCCACTAGGAAATAATATTATGTTTGTGTTAGATTATGAAGTACTGGTCCAGAAATGTGAGAATATGGGGAAAAGTCCCTTTTCCTGTATGTAAGCCTCTTGGGAAACTTTTTTAAAAATTAATCTACTGCTAAATGAATGAAAACAAAACTGTGCTCTTTCTGACATACATAGAACCTAAATTACATTCTAATGATTATTTCTTCACCTATAGTAATGCTCACTGTATGAAGGAGCTGCTGTCACATCAAAGGCCACTGTTCAATATAATTCCAAAGAACACATATGTATATAGAATTTACATCATAAATTGTTTACATAAGGTCTATTAAAATCATTCCTTTTTCATGACCTGTCATTTCATGAAAAAATATATACAGAGCTAATAAATAAGGAACAGAAAAAAATAAAAAACTATGAAACAATAATAAATTTAGTAAGGTATTATTTACTTAGTCCTCTTATTCCAGATGGGATATAAGGCTCCAGTGTTTCCTTTCCTACAGGTCAATATTTCCTATTCTTGATGGCTTGTTGTACATTTCCCCAAGAGACATTTATCTTGGCTAGCTCCTCCACCATTGGTTCTGTCTAACTAGTTTTTGGCCTTCCTGGTTTTCTTTTTCCTGCAGGTGTTCTATGACAGTTTTTGGGATGTGATCACTATCCATTCTAAGTACATGACCTACCCATCGCAGTCTTCAATATGTGATTTCTGTAATTATATTCCAGATTCCAGTCCTTTTGTATACAGTAGTTGGTAGTTGGATATTTTATTTGGCCAGAAGATGCAGCAAATGTTCTTGAGACATTCATTGTCGAAAGCTTCAACATTGAAACATTGAAGTTGTTTGAACAGGGTCCACTGGAAACCTCTGGGTTTGTCTAATGTGTTAGTCATGATATAGCCTATAGTGTAAATGAAGGGGATAGGGGAGAAAATACAACCTTGCCTCAATCCAGATTTTAGAGTGAACCACCCAGAGAGAGTGTTATCCATGATCGAATTGTTCATAGAATTTTCTTATGATAGTGACAGTCTTTTTATGGGATTCTATAGAATCACAGTATCTTCCAGAGGGTGTTTTGATGATCATTATTAAATGCCTTACTGAAATCCACAAAAATTGATTAACAAAGCTGTGTTTCATTTTAAACACTGCATGATTACATTTCACAGTGCAAACACCTGATTCATACAGTTTTCTCCCTTTCTTGAAACCTGCTTGCTCCTGCTTCGGTCAATAGCTGCCTCTATTCTGAGGAGCAGGACTCTACAGTAAACCTTATTTGTAATAGCAGGTTGATTTCTTGCCAGTTATCACTGTTCCTGAGGTCACCCTTCTATTCTTCAGAAATAAGTGTCAGTGGCTCAAATGTCTTGGAAAAGGTCAGTTAGCATTTTGGAGGCCATTTGGACATCTGCCTTCAGCATCACAGCATGAATTGAGTCAACAGCACATGCTTTGTACTCTTGACAGTTTAAATGGCAATTTTAACTTCAGAGCTTCAGGAGGATTTGGTGTCATTATCAAGGACATCATCTGTTTTTAGCAGAATGTTCAGTATGTGTAGGTTCTTCTTCGGGCACTTGACTTTCATGATGTCTAGCCACTTTTGGTGCTGGTCTTGTGTTATCACCTTCTAGAGTTTGAATCTCATGGTAGTAACAATTAGATAATGATTGCTGTAAGCATCTGCAACATGGTAGGCACTAACTTCATGTAGTGACCTCTGCCACTAATGATGATGTTGTCTATTTGATTGGTGGTTTTACCACCAGGTGACTTCCATTTGAGTATATAAATGTTATGTTTTGGGAAGATGGTACTGCCTATGATAAAGTGGTTGTTCATATAAAAGTAAATAAGGCAATCTCAATTGTTCCTTTCACCACATCCATGGGTGCTCATTGCTCTCTCATAGTTTGTCTTAACAGATCCCACTTTGACATTAATATCACTGATTATCAGGAGTATGACATGCTTTGGTACCTTGAAAACAGCAATTTGAAGTTGTTCATGCCTACTGTCTGTCTTCTTCATCAGTTTCATTAGTTGGTCCATAGCACTGCAGGATAGTGAGCTTCTAGAAATTTGAATTGAGGCATGCTCTTATCCACCAAAAATCACTCAATAGGTCTCTCTCTATTAAGGATCTGGCTTTCTCTCAGGAAAGTATGATGACTATATCTCTCTGTGGTTTAATATGACCTGAGAAAAGAAATGTACTGTAGGTAAAGTAAGTAATGTGGCCCATCATTCCACATCTGACATCCAGATGCAGCGACATTCATTTGTTCTCAGGATGTTGAGCCTGTATCTCTTCATTTCCCACAGGCTGTTTTTGAAGTCTCATACATGGTTCAGACATTCCATCCCCCAAGGCTGATCCCAGTTTATCACACTCCTGACTTCTAGCTGGTTTTCGTCAGGGGTGGTCATCCTGCCACTCAAATGACTCGAGTGGAAGAAGTCTATTTAGGGCCATGTGTAATTTAATATTGCTCACTGTAGTTTCTGTAACAGATTTTAGATTTTTTAATGTGATAGTGTTGTAAGTGCTATGCCCAACCCCTAGCCTAGAGAATCAACATGCTGGTTTTTGTCTGGCCCCTTGCATGAAACCAATCCAGTTCAGCCTACCAGGAGTCAGGGCTCCCACTGGTAATCAAAGTCTTAAAGGCATAGATGCTTCCCCACCACAGCAAGGTCAGAGGATGGGGAGGAGAACAATGTAAAAGCCTTTGTAAGTTATTAAACTGATCTAAGAGTTTCTTTTTATAGATGTCTTAAAACAATATATAATGTATAAATAATAAGACAATTTCCTTCTACCTTTTTCATATTCGTTATGTACCAGATCACAATCAGGTTCTATGCTGAAAAAATTCACCCGTCTTAATGAAGATACATGATATGATTTGCTCAATTCCAACTTCGAATGATGAGCTCTGCAAATATCCATATAGTAAAGGTACGGATATTGTGAGCAGTGAACTTCATAAAGAAGAAATTAACATTTTCATTGTTCTTCTTCACTGATCTTTCTAGGAATTATTAAATTAAGTATTTTTTTACTTTTTTAAAATGAGTGCATTTTATAATTGCTTTAAATTATTACAGTGTAAAGACAGCTCTGTTTCATTCTGGTCATGACATCTAGGATACAGATCTGTAGTTGCTGTAATTTTACTGAAGTGATCACATGCTGGAGTTTTACTGAAGGAAACAGTACAGTAATATTTAGTGGTCTCTGGAGAGTAACAGCTCCCCTAGAGGCCTGTGATGGTTCCATCTGCCTGTCTGATATGCCAATGTACTGCCAGAAGGGACAATGGGTTCAGTGCCAGAGTGCTAGACTTACTGTATAGTTAACATTTGGAACCTTTGTCTCTGTCAAACTAGATTTGTCTAAACTTGATTAGTGATCCTGATGGCTCTCTGAGCTTCTGAGCTGACTGCAGCCTGCATCGTACCTGAAAAAGACTGATTGTGTGTCTATCTGAGTGTAAATTCAGGTGTAGTTCTTCTTTTAGCCATACAAGGTACTTCAAGCACAGTAAAGAGCATATCATAGCATTTTATTAATTTTGAATCAAGCCGAAATAAAAGGTTAGTTATCGTGTGACATTCGTTTTGACCACAATGGTCTATATAGCCAGCAGCCATATCCCCCTGCAACACACAGTGGGCAAAACAATGCTGCTAAGCAGGTGTGAGCCTGGACAGTACCTGCATGGGAGACCTCTGGGGCAAAAACAAGATTGCTGTTAGAAGAGGTGTTAGTGGGGCCAGCAGGGGGTGCTCACCCTGTTGGCTTTGTGGGTCCTAATGCCCCAGTATAGTGACAAGGTCACTATACTATAAAAAAGGCACTGTCTTTCAGATGAGTTGTAGAAATGAGGTCCTGATTCTCTGTGGTCATTTAAAATCCCAGAGAGCAGGGGTTTAACCCTATTGTCCTGGACAAATTTCCTTTTAGCCCTTCCCAATAATGGCTCTATCCCCATCTATGAATTGGCTTCATTACTCTGTTCTCCTCCCCACTGATAGCTGATGTGTGATGAGTGTTCTGGTGCACTATGGCTGTGGTGGCGGAAGGGAGCCCGCCTTATCTGTAAAGTGCTTTGAGTGGAATGTCCATAAAAGCGTTATATAAACAATTATTATAATTCTTCAGTGTAAGTGTCATAGTAAACTTCCAAACATTACAATGTTGTTTTTAAGGTTTTATAACCTCAATTCTTGTTAACTACATTATATGTACTGTATGCTAGTCTACATAAACTCAATCTAAAGCTTTCTAGAAAAAAAAAGCTAAAGAAGAACTTTTCAGACTTAAGTGAGAGGAAATGACAATGGGACATATTTCAGTGCTGGTGTGCTATATGTTTCACTAATGGGTTTAAATAGTTCTTTCATACTTGCCATTATAATGTTAGATACATTTAGTTGTCCGGATCATTAAATGTTTTAATATGCTTTCCAAACATAAATTTGTGAGAGCAATTTCAAACAATTA